CCTGAGTTGGCAGGGCAGAGGCGCCATCTAGTGGTCACTCCAAGAATATCCACATGCTCCTTTCGTGGGGCGCTAATGACCTGGGGGCGTGTCCAACACTCATGCCAAAGGTTAATTAAGAGGTGGGGGCATCTCTGGCTCCCTATGTTCAACTTGGCTAAGCGTTCGGTGTGGGTGGCTGTAAAGGTCTGCTGTAAATAGGGCATCAATTTAGACAAGGGACTCAGCTAATTAATTGGGAGGTGACAAACTGCCACCTGGTATCCTCAAGATCTGAGTTCCGTCAGGGACATAAATGTCCCAGAATGTTGACTTTCCTGTCTGGCTCTCCCTGATGCTGTCTTGCCTACAGTCCACTTCTTCCCGGCAGGACCCTGCAATTATCTTTTCCCTATCAAGTAGAAGACCCACCAAAGGCGGTACCTTTTCTGAGCCAGGGGTGAGAGTTCCAGCTTGGTTGAGACTAGGTCCCTGAAGGATTTATCTCTCCTGGGCAGGTCAGATGGGGAACACCCTCCAGCAGAGGTGGATGGCGACTGCCTTGATGTGGGCACAGAACCCAGAGAGAAACGTTGATCTGGATGCCAGCCTCCAGATGCGGCTTCTCAGACTGCGTCTCAGTGGTCAGTCCAGAAGGTTCCCTTCTTAGGACACCCCAGATATCCTCAGAGAAGGGTGAGGCCTCCGGGCTCAGTATGTCTACTCAGTGTTCTCCGATGGGTAGTATGTGTGCCCCAGAGTTTCCCGACTGGCTAGCTCCCCTGCCTCTGTGAGAACTACTCAGTCATATGCCCCTCCCTTCATCTTGGTAACTCCGCCGGAGAGCCCAATGTGACAGAGTTGACAATACCAGCCAGTCAGTGCCCAAGGCATGCTGGAACCCTGAACTCCTCCCAGGGTGTGATAATGGGGGTCTTTCCATCACAGAGTGTGGGCCACGGCTGCCATGAGGGCCTTTGTGTCAGGTTAGACCCTCTGACTAGATCAAGGCAAGGAGGATGGGATCCTCAGGTGTGGAGTGGGAGAGGTGGATGATGGGCTAGCAATAGAGCTTTGAGAAAATTTGGGGGGTCCCCTCGAACTTCTACTTCAGATCTGCCCCCCAGTCCAATCTCTCACAAGTTCACCTGACCTGCTCAAGAAATCCCAACCAGTAGCTGCATTCAGTGTGCTGGACGGCGCTGTGTGCAGCTGCCTGCCCAGACCCACACGGCTGTGGCAGAGTGAGCCCTTCAGAGGATGGAGTGACTCTGCCCCGGTCACCCTGGTGGCATCAATAGTAGGGGTGGTGCCCATCACCCCTCTGGCAGAGGCTAGTCGGCACCGTGCCACCTAGAGACGGTCACAGTTCCTACAGGCATTCCAGCCCCTCTGCGGACGTCGCTAACCATGCCCAGCTGGGGAGAAAGCTGACAGCAGCTGGGGCTCGGACCTCTCTTCTGCAGAAATGCTCCACCACCGAACGAGTCTGAACTGGTTCATAGGGGCTAGATACGCAGAGACTAGGGCTGGCAAAGCTTGGTCATGCGGAAAAGAAAAGCAAGATTAAGGGCTCGTGGTGACATTCCCTACACACATGTGTGCAGAGCCATGTAGTTAGTCTGCAGACGACTCCACACTAGGTCTTATGCTGATTCTCATTTTATACGCAAAGGAATGATGCACAGAAATGTTTAGCAACTGACCAAAGGCACACAGCAACAAAGAGGCGGAACTGGGCTTTGATCCCAGGCAGAACAGCATGAAGACCTGCGTTCTCTATTGGGTACTGGGATGGCTCTATGCTGGGGAATGGCCAAGAGTTTGGACACCGGGGTCGGAGAACTCTGGGTTCCTGCTCAGAGTCTCTTCCTTCTAACTGAGAGAGCTCAGGTGGGTTTCAGTCTCCGTAGCTGAGTGTGAAAGAGACCCACACTACCTGTCTAGGACACAGAGGGGTTTACACAGGTCAATGATGTCACAGGGTTGGCTGGCACTCAGCCGCACACAGACTCTAAGCGGCTTCTATAAGAAACTTCTGCGGCCCAGTGGTTGATGCTTGCGACTAGATCAGGAGAGATTTCACTGCAAATGCCCCCGGCCACTCAAGCCTCGTCCGGTCTTCCTGTGCCCAGCTAGGGGTATTGTGGAAAACCTATGAGTTTTTTGTGTGTTCCTTCCTTCCTTCCTTCTAGTACAGCAGGCTGCTCCTGTTTTCTTTGCCGAGGGTGAGGGGCGGGGTTGTAGCTGGCAGCCTGTTGGTCCTGCACGGTCTGCCAGGGTCTGACTGTAAGCTCTTGATACCAGTAAGGCAGTGGACCTGGCAGGGGAAGACTGAAGCCATCCTGTCAAGCCAAGCACGGGCCTCTGGAGAGCAGGAAGCAGGCTCTCGAGGAGAGAGGCCTGTGTGGGGAGGATGCGCGGCAGCCTGGGCACCACTGACCGCTTGTTTCTATCAGCCGACCAGGCTTGCTCAGCGGAGTAAGGATGAGGGAAGCCTGGCTTTGTAAAAGGATGTGTTTCAAACGGGCTAAAGCGTCAGATTAACACACATTTAACCAACACGAAACTTTCTACTGCCATTCTTTGTGTAAAGCCCCACGTTCTCGTATTCGGGACAGTCCTAGAAAAGTCTTTCCCCGGGCCTTGGAAGGGAATCTCAGTTCTGAAGACAGGGAAGGGGCAAAGGATTGTGGGTGGGAGTGGGGCCTGGGTTGGGTGCATGGGTGGTTTGTCTTAGAACATGACCTAGAAAAAGGAGAAATACAAGATACTTTCACGTACAGCACGAGGCCCATCGAATGGTCAAGGGTCTTTTCTGGGGGCTTTGCTTTTAACAAACCTAAAGCTTTCCCTCCCCGTTGCCGAAGCCATTAGGTGTCTTGTCTTCACAGAGGTGTTTTTCTTGTGCTGGGGGTTGGGGGTGGAGTGTACCAAGGGCCGTGCATGTCCTAGGCAGGGCTCCTCAGCTGAGCTACACTCAGCTCAGGTCTGTGCCCGCTAACACACTTGATGAGTTACAAGTCCCCGAGCTTACACTTCACCTGGAGCCCTGGCCACTGCCAAGGTCTAAGAAAAGCCTGGCGTGGATGGCGCCCCCTCCTTTGCTGGTAGAAGCAGAGCTTGCGTCACTTAAGATCCCACACGGAAGCACGTCTTTACACTCACAGGGCTAAATTTTCCCAAACAGAAATTCAGAAATCACATTTTTTTCCTAGCAAGCACTACTGAAAATGCAGCAAGGAAGTAGATTTAAAAAAAAACACCCCAAAAGGTGATACTTGAAACCTTCATTCTTCTCTGCGTGTGTATGTATATGTGTGTATGCATGTATGTATGTGTGTATGTATGTATGTGTGTATGTGTGTATGTATGCATGCATTGTGTATGTGTGTATGTGTATATGCATGTATGTGTGTATGCATGCATTGTGTATGTGTGTATGTATATGTGTGTATGTAAGCATTGTGTATGCATGCACTGTGTATGTGTGTATGCATGCATTATGTATGTGTGTATGTATGTATTGTGTATGTATGCATGTGTGTATGTATGCACTGTGTATGTGTGTATGTATGCATGCATTGTGTATGTGTGTATGTGTATATGCATGTATGTATGTGTGTATGTGCATAAATGTGTGTGTGTGAGCACTTTGTGTAGGGTGTTTTCTTCACTCTCCACCTCATTTCTTATTTTTGTTTATTTTGTTTTATGAGCATGAGTGTTTTGCCTGCATGCATGTACATACACCACATGCATGCAGAGCCTGTGGAGGTCAGAAGAGGTCACAGGATCCCTTGGAGTTGAAGTTACAGATGGTTGTGAGCTGCCCCATGGGTACTGGGAATCTAACCTGGGCTGTCTATAAAAGCAACAAGTGCTCTTGACGGCTGGGCGTTCTCACCAGCCCCTCCACCTTACTTTTGGAGGCAGGGTCACTCACTGAACCTGGAGCTCACTAGTTTCACTAGACTGGCTGGCCACCGACTGCAGAGGCTCTGTCGTCGCCATTGTCCCAAGCTGCAATTGCAGGTGTTTGCCATTGTGCCTGGCTTTTTACATGGGTTCTGGGGGAGTGAACTCAGCAAGCACTTTGCCTACTAAGCTATCTCCAAAGCCCCCAAATGTTCTTCCTTATTCACGTATAGATACTAAGTGTTTATTTTCTGTCAGCACCTGTCATGAGTTAGACCAGCTAAAAGAGCAAAGCCAGACCAAAACAGATACAGACCGTGTTTCTCCTTTTGATTTCAGAACAAGTCTGTTTTGATGTTTTCAGAGGTAAGGTAGGAAGTGACTTGCTGGGGTGGGGTGGCACAGGCACGGAGTTGTGGCTGCCGTGTCAGAACCAGTCACATGAACTGTAGGTTAGTGAATGGGCTGGGGGGCTGCTGGTGGAGGGCTGCTTCGACACGGCAGGCGCCAAGGCCCAGAGGTAGGAGTCACTCAATGTGCCCAAGGAGCAGAAGGGTGGCTGTGCCAGGGAAGAATGAGCTCAGAGAGGTCAACGGGGACCAAGTCAGAAGGAGGGTGCCGTGGGGAGAGGCGGGGCTCATGGGTGGTGCCTGGGGACTGAGGCAGGTTTGTAAGGAAGGAAGAGAACCGATTGACTTGTGTTTAACAGGATCCTTGACTCGGTGCAAAAATAATAAATACAGGCCAACACAGAAGACGGGAGGAGGCTAAACGGGAACAGCGGGTCCAGGTGATCTGACTGGGGGATGGGGAAAGGGGAGCTGTTAGGGAAGGGGAGGGAATAAATACCACAGAAGGGGGTGAGCAAAATGACAGCAAAGGTGTCTGAAAAAGTCACAGTCATGGTTTCTTAATTATTTCCCTTCCGCTAGGCAGGACTGTCGTCTGATGAAGTGCCTCAGCTGCCTTGGCAACGGGAGCGAGTGAATTGACCATGCTTTTATTTTTGGATGCTTTTACATCATGGGTATCGAAGTCACAAGTGTCACATGATGGAAGGACCTTTGAGTCACCCCCTCGGTGGAGGACTGATCAATCTAGAACATTCATGCTGCCCTTTGAGTGAGTAAAAATTAAGCTTTCATTGGAGGGTTGTTTTTTTTTCTTTTTCCTTTTGTCCTAGCAATTGCCCCATTCTGACAGTGACAATTGCTGTCTCCCAGCAGACAGAAGCCTTCGGGGTAACTGATGAGTCACACGGGTCCTAAATGACAGCATGTCCAGGGGTTTGAGGCCTGGCCAGATCGAGTCTGATATGAGAACAGCGAGGGAGAAGTACAGGCAGGAGTCTGGCCATCTGGGAGGGGTTAGCGTCAGGAAGAGGCGCCTGCCACCCAGGGAGGAGGAAGAGTCAAGAGCCTCAACCTTGCATGTGCCACCAACCCCCAAGACCAGGCTTAGCAAACCTACCGAGGGGACTCAGAAGAAAGAAACGAAACTCGGGACATGGTGGCACACACCTGTGATCCAAGCATGTGAGCCCCCAGGAAGCTGAGACAGGGGGATTAAGAGTTTGACGGGCAGTTGGGGCTACAAACTGAGACCCTGGAAAGAAGGAGGGAGGGAGGGAGAGAGGAAAAATCACATAGGATGTAGTACTTCATGGTGACCTCTGCATCATTCATTCATTCATTCATTCGTTCGTTCGTTCATCCATTCGCTGAGCTCCTGTACTGTTCCAGATGCCGGACACTGGAGCAAGCTCTGGGGACAAAGGAAACAACCAACTGAGGGACCTGAGGTTGGATCAGGGGAGGTCACTTAGCCCATTTTCTGCCACTGAGAATGCCCCAGATAAACAACTCACAAGGAGGAAATGTTTGTTTTGGTTTTGACTTCAGTTGGCTCCTGCTGCTTTGACCTGCACGGCAGGAACACCCCACGGAGCAAACATGTTCATCTCATGGCAGCCAAGAAAGAGAGTGGTGGGGTGGGGTGGGGAGGAATGGGCTGGAGACCCAGACTCTCTTCCAAGGTCATACCTCTGCTGACCTAACTGTCCCACTAGGCCCTACTTTCTGAAGGTTCCTCAGTCTCTCAATCATGCAATAGGCCAGCAATCAGTCCTTTAACACGTCAGTTTGTGGGGGATGGTTAAGACTCGGGAACACACAGCAAAGGGCTATGAAGGAGCTGACGGATGTACAATCGAGGGGTTTTGCTTTGCCAGGGAGCAGGGTCCTCTCCCTGGGCCCAGGGGAAGAAGAAGGGTTACCCAGAGTGGTGGGGAGTAGAACTCAAGCTTGTGAGAGTAGAGGAAGGCGACGAAAGGAGCACTCGTCCTCCTAGGCAGAGGGAACAACTCGTGCAAAGGCCCTGTGGGGAGTTGTGCAGGAGTGACTGAACCGTGTGAGAGAAGGAGGAAGCCAGAGACAACGGGGCGACAGGAGGCAGAGAGAAAGGGGCAGGGTCATGAAAGTCTCAATAGGAATGTTCTGGAACAGATCGGCCTGTGGACATGTGTGTGGGGTGTTGTCTTGATGACAGTAATTGATGTGGGATGCCCAGGCCACTGTGGGTGGCACCACCTGGGCAGAAGGTAGTGGAGTCCGTAAGTGCAGAACAGGCTAGGCCCTAGGAAAAGCAGGCACCAACTCCCTGTTTTTGACCGTGGTCCCTAGCTCGAATTCCGTCAGTGACAGACTGCAGCCTAGAGTTTTTATCAGGGTGTTTTATCATAGCAACAGGAATTAACCTAGAACCCTGCTTCCTGTTGTGTTTTAGGGGACCCACCTCCATCTTCCACACTGGGAGAGTTCTGTGGGTGGCTCTTTCTAGACTTGTCCCTGGTGGGTGGCATCTGCTTGAAGCTGTCGCAGCTTAGAGAAGAGGGCTTCACCCCTCCCACCTTCTTCTCCAACACCCCCCAGGACAGTGGACTCAGACACAGGACCAAGCTTCCTAATACTGCAGGCAGCCGGCGTGTGCAGTGTGACTGAATCTTGACTTTATTGCTAGAATTTTCTATCCTTGGTTCCCACAGATCCAAACCAGAAGCTTGCATCCAGGAGCCTTGTCATCTTGGAATATTGGGAGTGGAGGGGAGGCAGCCCTGGTCCTGAACAGGGAGCAGGTCCCGTGGAACCTGCCTCGTGCACAGTGCCTGGTGACAGAGTGGTCCCAGTGTCCCCAGATCCTGATGCACCAGCTGCAGCAGCTGTGCCTCGTTACTCACTCCCATCAATCCTGACTTTTAGATGTCACCTAAGCACATTGCATATGGCACACCACTGCAGCCGGGCCACACCAGCCAAACTAGCCAGGTTCAGGGGGCCACAATTCACAGGCCTTTTTTGGAAGACGTATCATCACTTCCTTCCTATCAGATCAACTTCTGAGACTGAGAACTAACAAGAGGAATCTCAGAGCTGGGTAAATGCTGAAAGCTCAGAGAAGCAGAACAGCCAGCAGCTAGAGCTCTTACTGCTACAACATCTCCAGACCGAAAAGAGACTGCGCTACTGTCTCCTCCTGCCTTATATTCCTCTCTCCACCCAGTCATGTCACTTCCTGTCTGTCTGTTCAGACCTCCAGACCTCCGTAGTTAACTAGTGGCTAACTTCTTCCTCTGATCTTCAGGCAAGTTTTATTTGTTAGAATACAAACAAGGTATCATCTTATTTCCCTTTTTCTTTAGCATAAAATAGAAAAAAGTTATAAGTAATATAAGAAAAACTATATATAATATGTACAATAACTACATACAATATATAGGCAACAAATACATCAGCAATCTCTAGTCCATTAGCAATGATAAATTCAGAGAAAATACTCCGCATCTATCCTATCTTGGTTAGTCCAAAAGAAATCACTTTCTATTCGAACTTGCATTGCCAAAACTGTCTTTTAATGTTTCTCAACCTTATATACATTTCTTTAGTGAATCTCTTTTCTGAATTTAGTAATAAGGAGAACTAACTATAACTATAATGTCTTCAACTCCATCAGAGACCTGAGAAGGAAAGAATATTACCTAAGGAAACAGGAAGTGTGAGCAAGTGACTTCCAAAAATTGTGAGAAATTACAGAAACATCTGGCTGCCCGGACAGTCATCCACAGCCCATCTGCAATGTTGGGGCATCTATCTTTGGCATACAGGCTTAGCTTATCTGACTAACTTTTCTGTGAGGGAGGATATTCAGAAGGACTGTCTTACCTTGTCTTGGCAAAGTTTGGCAGTCCTTTTCTTTGTTGTGCCCTGCTTATCCAATTTGCACACTATACTTTCAGCTGTCAAGGCAAGGGCTCTTTCTTGCCAAGTGGCTTACTTTTGTCACAAAGAAGTAAACTCCATATGGAGTTTCTTTGGTGCCCATCATTTTCTCTGAAGTAGATTGGCGCTACCAGGAATAGACATGTCTCATTGTTATAAAAGAACCTGTGTTAGGAAAACATCTTAAATACCATATTATGTAGATCTCTGAAATGTTGAAAAATGACCTGTCTATCTAAACTATATCTCTGACCTTGAAAACATACCTAATGTGACTACAAGTGTGATTATAATAGATACTAATTGCTAATTTGCATTTGCTTATTATCCTAAATAGTTGATAATAATAACTTTCAAGAACTAGAAATTTGCATTACATTGTTAAATGAGCTGTATAGGTAATACCTTGAACAAGAATAGAAACGTATGTATAATAAGTTCTAACCAAAATAACTTTAAATTTGTATCAATATACCAAAATCCATATCAATGTAAAATATTTAAGACTACTAGTTCCTTTTTGGTTTAAACATAGATTCAACAAACTACCTTTTAATTCTATTTCTATATTTCCCTTTTTCTTTTCAGAGTAAACTCAATAATATACCTTTACATCCTAGCATATCTATATCCCCTTTTTTCTTTTCAAAACAATACCTTTAACCCTGAATCTAAACTCCTTTGTTCAACTTTTTTTCCTGACCATTACCAATAATGACTTGTAACCACCCCCCAAAAACAATGACAAATGTCCATGACCCAATGAAAGACCAAACACCACCTACCCCACCTCTTGGGAATGTGGGAATCATGCTCTAAAATTTACTTCCTGCTTTCTGAGGGTGATGACATCTTTAAGAGATCCTGAAAAGATTTGGTTTAATTGTCAAGTCCTGGGAGAGGTAGCTTTATCATTTGTTGTCCAGTCTCTGTGTAATGGGAATGTGTAGGGCTTATCTCAAGTCCTGGATAGAGTAGTCTGTGAGGCTGGATCATCTCAGCTAGCTATCTTAAAATTATAGCAGTTTGTAGTCAAAAGCCAATCTTTAGGTGGTGTTTTTCAGCTTAGTGGCATTATCATAGTTCTGGTGGAATTGTCATTGTGGGGTCCTGTTTCCTTTGGGAGACTTCAGAGGTCACTGTTAGGCATGGTCTTGGTTAACTACAATAAATTTAAACATTTTAAATGTCATTTATAGCATATCTCAGAGATTAAAAGATCATGCTTTGTTATGTCCCTACAAAGTACAAAAACTTAATTTCTAGTTACCAGATGGAGACTCAAACATGAAATCATAGGAAGATAGATGAAGCCTTCTTCTAGAATTAGTACTCTATATGAATATTAATATCATGACAAAAAGTTTAAAATATATAAATTAAATTTATAAATTATGAGATAATATTTATTCCATAAGAAAAGCTGTTAAAGAGTCAAAATGAAACCAAAGGATTATCAGATTAGTGACAATACAATAGTCCCCTAATTTTTGTTTTTTCTTCCTGTCCCATATCAGGTGACTCTTCTGATATGAGACAGAGATTTTGTATTTCACTTTAATAAGCATGCTTGGGTTTAGAGGAGAGAGCCACTCTCCAATTCCAAAGCTAGATTTAATTTTTAATTGGACTGAGACTACAAAAAAGATCATTTGCATTATATGTCTGTAGAGAATAGCAGAAACAAACATTTGAGAAGATTTATGAAATTTAAATCTGTTGGAGATGTGACATGCTAATAGGCCAAATGACTCTTTTTCTTGGGACTTTTTTTTTCTAGATGATTTGTCCTTTTTCTTCAGATATCTCATTTGTACAATGGTCTTTGAATTACTTAGCTGGATGCATTTACTCTCCTGAAAAGACAAAAAGAAAATCCTTCCCCAACCCTAACTTTTGGAGAGGTTCCCTTTGGGCAAGTTGTATCTCATCCAATGAGAACCTTTTGTTAGTCGTATAAGTAAGTTTAGATTGAATGGTCACACTGGCTGATGAACTATTACCTCTTCTAATCAAGAGGTCTCTCTTGTTCAAATTGAACCTTTATCAATTTTGGTGATAGCCATAGCTTTTCTTCTCCTGTGGAAATAAAAGCAAAACCCCTTCCCCCAACGTAACACATATCCTGGCTTCCATTCTGAAATCAACACATCTTTAAAGAATATAGGCTAATTTAATTCTATAGCTTTTTTCTATTATCCAATATCTCTCTGCAACTGCCATTCCTTTCTCATCAGCATTTAGAAAATTCAAAGTTAATAAAACATTATGCAATCTATTTCTGGGGATCTTTATTACGCCTTTCTGTTTATGTAGCATATCCTTTAGAGTTCAATTTGATATTTCTATAACTGCTTGTCCTGTAGGATTGTGTGATATACCTGTAATATGCTTTATATAATAAGCAAAAAACGATCTCATTTTACTAGAGACATATGCTTGGGTGTTGTATGTCTTTATTTGTACAGGTATACCAATGATGGCCTTAACTTCTTGCAAATGTGTGATTACCAAATCAGCCTTTTCCAAACTCAAAGCAGTTGACTATTAAAAACCCGAATAGGTATCAATGGTATTGTGTGCATACATTAGTTTTCCAAAACCTACAAAATGGAATACATCCATCTGCCAGATTTTATTCCTTTGAGCTCCTTTTAGGTTACTGCCTGCAGGTAGTGGTGTTTGGTTGTCTAACAAACAAATACGACATTTCCTTATCATTTTCTTGGCTTGTTGCCAAGTGTTGCAAAAATATTTTTTCAAACCTTTGCTATTGACATGATTTTTAAAATGAAATTCTGAATCCTCCAGCACATTTCCTATCAATAGTTGATCAGTTTCTTTATTACCTTGTGCTAAAGGCTCTGGCAGATCTGTATGGGATCAGATGTGTGGTATATATATGGGATGATTTCTTTTCTTGAATATTTCTTGCAACTGAAGAAATAATCATCAATTCTGTGTCATCTAGCATAAATTCATCAGTTTCAATATGCAAAACAACTCTTTCTGCATATTGCAAATCAGTAACTATGTTAATATGGTCTGTAAAATCTATTAATTCTATGAGAATAACATATAATTCTGACTTTTGGACAGAATCATAAGGGCTTTGAGCCACTTTACTTAAATTTCTGATTTGTAACCTACCTTTCCTGATTTATTTGCATCAGTAGAGAATATAGGTGCTTCAGTTATTGGTGTTCCTCCTACAATGTGAGGAATGGTCCATTTAGTTCTCTTTATAAATTGAATTCTCTTGCTTTTGTGATATTTGTTGTTAATCTCTCCCAAAAAATTACTGCAAACTCTTTGCCAAGGTTTACTTTCTAGCAAGGGCTATTGAGTTTCAGTCTCAATGACCCCTAGGTTTTAGAGAGAACACTATGGCAAACAGGGGGACTCAGAAAAATCTGAGGGCAAATGAATTCTCCACTATGTACTTTTTGCATCAATTTCTTTATTCTTTTGCCATCCTCCATGGTTTCCAGTTTCTGTACACATACAGACACAATCAGCAATTCTCTGGCAATAGCAAGGTTACAAGACTTGTATTTTTTAGGATCATTAAAATAGATAAAGGGCTATACACAGCAGGTAACTGTCAGCTTACTTTTTGGCTCAGGGGAGGCATGACTTGTGGGATGTCCAAGCATATCTGAGAGGTGAAAAGGAGGCTCAAGAGGAGGGAACTATAATTTCTAAGAAGGGAAAAGGGGAGCTCATGTATTAAACTACATTCCTAAGTGTGGTTAGTTAAGCTAAAAGTTTGTAATCAATAAATGTAGAGAAAAGGGAGAGAAATGCAGCAACACTGTCTTCTCTAAGCACTTTCTTTGCTCCCATGGCATCTGGGAACAGAATCAGGGTAGCCATAGGAACTGGTATAAACTGCAGAAGAAAGCCTGTGGTGTCTATTTTGCAATAGCACTTTTGCCAAATATTAGCTGGCTAAAATGGAACCTCTCTGATCTAAAAGTCACATGTTACACCATAAACAGCTAGAACAAAGGGAAATCTATAGTTATGTAGTATAAAATCCTGGATCTGACCATTTTCAGCTTCCCTGAGCCAAGTGCCAGCCCCGTTCCCATTGATGCTCACATGAGAAAGATTACTTTCCTCCAGAGCTGGTTAAGTAAGCAATAGCCTTTTTCCTGTTATCTTTCAGGGTTAAGACACAAACAGTTAATTTCCTAGCTAAGGTCTTGTCTCAGTGAAATGGAGGTAGAAGTAAGTACAGAGTATTAATAGCTTGTTAGAGTAGAACAGGGGTCAACTGAGGTTGTGCTATTCCATCTTGGCTGCAGGTGACTTCAGGGCACCCAGCCCTCCTTATCTGTGAAGGCAATTAATCAGCTAGCTCAGACATGCCGTACCCTCCTCTCAGTGCCTATCATTGAAGGTTCAAAATGTGATCTGTTTGCAAGACTCCTCTCCTGGCCAGATGTCCCACCATAAAAGATAGTTGTGGGGAGCTAGCTTCTATATTTATATCAGGGAATGGAGCAGAGGTTTGACTATGAGAACAAAGTTGTTACTTTTCACTGTGTGAATACTTTCACACCAGGGCCCTACGGTGTGGGTACAGGTCACCCAATACATCAGTATGTGCAGAAGATTATGCCCAGTAATTGATTAATACACTGCTGAAGCTTTTGGGATGAATCCCACTGTAGAAGGAGAGTGCTATAGCTTCACAGGGGATTTACAGTAAGAACAGCCACTATTCAGAAGTCAGTGTCCCATCACCTTATACCTGGGCCTGTCTCCATCAGAACTCATGGCTCTGGTGGGTTGACTTTTTGATTTCTCAGCTGAAATTTCACTGCATAATCCTGTAAACCACAGCAACTTTCTGCCCATAATTTGTCAATTTCATCATTAGTAAAAGTTACTACAATTTCTGCTGGATCTATTCCTGCTAATTGACAAAAATCTCAATTTTCCTTTTAGAATTATCTGAGAGACCTTTTCCACATATGCTTTTAAATTTTTACTTTGTTTATGTGGTAAAAAATCTATTCTAGCTTTTCGTCAAGATGGCGCCGAAAGCAAAGAAGGAAGCTCCTGCCCCTCCCAAAGCCGAAGCTAAAGCGAAGGCCTTGAAAGCCAAGAAGGCAGTGCTGAAAGGCGTCCACAGCCACAAAAAGAAGAAGATCTGCACATCGCCCACCTTTCGGCGTCCCAAGACCCTGCGGCTACGAGGGCAGCCTAAATACCTCCGGAAGAGCGCGCCCAGGAGGAACAAGCTTGATCACTATGCCATCATCAAATTCCCCCTGACCACCGAGTCAGCCATGAAGAAGATAGAAGACAACAACACACTTGTGTTCATTGTGGACGTCAAGGCCAACAAGCACCAGATCAAACAGGCTGTGAAGAAACTCTATGACATCGATGTGGCCAAAGTCAACACCCTCATAAGGCCCGATGGAGAGAAGAAGGCATATGTTCGGTTGGCTCCTGATTATGATGCTCTGGATGTTGCCAACAAGATTGGAATCATCTAAACTGAGCCCAGCCGGCTAATTCTAAATATACACTTTTTTACCATAAATATATATCTATTCTAAGATAACATCTTCTCTCTACATTAATATTCCTGTAAGAGAATGCATAGAGGGTAAAATAATCAGAATGCAATTAAGATCTGGATCCAAATGGTCCATATGTACATCCTGTAAGTTCTTTCCCACCAATGCCAATTCTCTCTCAGCTTCAGTTGATAATTCTCTTGGACTATTTAGGTCCTTGTCACTATTCAAGGTTTTAAACAAGTTACTCAATTCATCATTATTTTACCTCAATAGTGGGCCAAAGATTAGAAATGTCTCCTAGCAATCTTTGAAAGTCATTAAGAGTCCGCAATTGATCTCTCCTAATTTGCACCTTCTGTGGCCTAATTTTTTTTGGAGACCTATATCTTAAATAATTAATAGAATCTCTCCTCATTGTAGTTTTTCAGGAGTATTTTGTAATTCCCAACAAGGCAAAGTTTTTTTTTTCTTCTTCAAATATTCTAAAGTATCTACATTTGAATCAGCTAGTGAGACATTGTCCATGTAATGGCAAACTATAGATTGAGGAAATTGCTTACATATTATTTCCAATAGCTAACATACAAAATAATGGTACACGGTGGGGGCTATTTAACATTCTCTGTGGGATAACCTTCCAATGATAGCTCTTAACAGGCTGAGAGTTATTATAAGTAGGCACCATGAAGGCAAATTATTCTCTATCTTTTTCTTGTAAAGGTATATAGTGAATAAACAATCTTGTAAATAAATAACTATAAGAGGCCACCCTTAGGCAATAGGGAAGGCAAAGGAATTCCAGACTATAAAGAGCCGATTGGCTGAATCACCTTATTATTAGCTCTTATATTTGTTAATATTTTCTATTTTCTAGATTTCTTTTTAATAATAAATACAGGAGAATTTCAAGAGCTGGTTGATTCTTCAATACACTTCTGTACCAGCTGTTCTAAAGTCTGAAATTTCTCTGATATTAAAGGTCATTGCTCAATACATACAGGTTTGTCTGTCAACCATTTTAAAGGTATGGCTATTGGTGCCTTTGAACAATCAGCAGCTGTCATGCTCTCTGTTCTTGTACAACCTGAATGGTCAGTGACTGGTCTATATAATACCTTCCAATATTTTCCCCAGAGACATATGTTAATTTATGGTTTATTTCTAAGATTGGGGGAATGTTAATCTGAATATTCCATTGATGTAGCAAATCATGTCCCCATAAATTCATTGCTATGCTAGCTACATATGGCTTTAATTTTCCTCTCTGTCCTTCTAGCCCCATACATTAAACCTATCTTGTGCTCTATTTTACCTGAGTTAAAGTTCTAATCTCTAAAAGCTGAACATTTACCTCCTGAAGAGGCCAGTTTGGATGTCAAGGATTCTGGTGCAACTATTATTACATCCACACCTATATTTATAAGACCTTCAATGACAACATCATTTATTCATATTTTTAATTTTGGTCTTTGTTCATTTATAGACATGCCAAAATACATGCTTTATGGTTTCTCCTGAGTTTTTTGTTCTCTCTTCTATAGTTGTTATCCAGAGCAGTATGGTTTCTTACAATAGGTATTCGACTCTTTAATTGCTCTGGGAAGGAGTTTCCTCCATGATTATAGGAAATGGCTAAACTGAATTTGGCATGGAAGCCTACAAGAGGCCCCTCAAGGCCTTTCTTGATGGCAAAGGGTTATCTTGACTGTCCCTTGTTAATTGACATTCTTTAGTCCAATGCCTACCCTTGCCATACCTTCTGTATAATCCAGAAGGGAGGGACATTCTATTTGGATTATGCTTAGAAAAAAACATTATTTCTAGGAATGCCCTATGTAAAACTCCCCTCCTTTTATATTTTTGTTGTTTTGAGACAGGGTTTCTTAAGAAGAAGTTTTAGAGCTTGTCCTGGAACTTGATCTTGTAGACCAGGCTGGCCTTGAACTCACAGAGATCCACCCACTTCTGCCTCCCAAGTGCTGGGATTAAAGGCCTGCACCACCACCTCCTGGCCTTACAATTACTTTTTAGGTGACCTTTTTTATTGCAATTGAAACACTTGACATTTCAATTTTTCTTTAAACCTCTGGAATCCAAGCATCTTTTTCTATCCAAGCATCATCATGGTCATGAGATTCAGTATTGGTTGTATCTTGGATCCATTTCTTCAGGGACGCTAATTTTGCCTTTAATGGCCTAATTATCCCTTTCCATTGTACATTAGCATTTTCAAAAGTCAGATATTCTATTATTATTTGTTTAGCTTTTGAATTTGGAATCATTCTAATTATTACAGAAGTCAATCTTTGTAAGAAATCAGTGAAAGTTTTTTTTTTTTTTTGGACCCTGTATAACTTTAGCAAATAACTCAATTTTCTTTCCTACTTCAATTCTGTCCCAAGCATTCAAAGCTGCTGTACAGCATAAAGCCAGGGCATGGTCATCATATAGAGACTGACTTTATACATTAGCATAATCTCCCTTTCCAAGAATTTGGTCTTGGGAGATTTTCATACCTCTAGCCCTACTTTATTGTTCAATGGTCTTAGCCTCATCTTTCCACCAGGCACTGTAACTGAGGACCAGGATTCAAGTCTGCTGTAATCGTGTCTTTCCAGTCTTGAGGGATAATTCTATTACAAGTTGACAACAGGTCTAAAATCTGCTTCACAAAAGGTGAATGCATGCCATAGGAGACTATTGCTTCTTTGACTCTCCTTAAATATAACATTTCCACAGGAGCTCATTCAGTTCTTACACAGCCTTGGGATATGTATCATTTGGCAGTTGTTCCTGTAAGGTGACTGAATAAATTAAAGTTTGTTTGTTTGAAAGGTATAAGCTGCTCCTTTCTAACCTTATAAATGCAACACTGAAATTGGTTCTCCTTTAAATTCCTCTGTACCTGACTATCTCTATGATCTGTTTTAATAAGTTTTTCTAAAACTTGTATCTTAGCGCACACATTAACCAACTTTTTTAGTGATAAAAATGATAAAACTGAGAGTGTTTGTAATTGACATTACAGAAATTCCATCTAAATTGGTTATCCTCTCATGTAATGGTTCCATTTTCAAACTGCTCAGCATATTATCATACAGAGACCTAACTACCTCCATTGTAATAGTGCTTTCCATTTTAATTTAATTTTAATGTGGGGAAAAAAAATCTTTTTTAACTCCCTTTAAGAATTCCCAAGCTGGGAGGTGGTGGCACATGCCTTTTATCCCAGCATTCAGGAGGCAGAGGTAGGTGGATCTTTGTGAGTTTGAGGCCAGCCTGGTCTACAAGAGCTAGTTCCAGGACAGGCTCCAAAGCTACAGAGAAACCCTGTCTTGAAGAAAAACAAAACAAAACGAATTCCCTGTTGTTTCACCAAGTCTGCCAACGGTGATGATTCAGATGAAGGTCAAGTGTGAGGCTGATTGCTGTTGCATAGAACAGTAGAAGCTCGGATAAGTTTGGCAGCAGCCCCAGGAGGGGGTCCAGGGAGATCCTGGGACCCACAGAGTGTAAAGAAGCCAAAGAGCCAGCATCTACATGGAGGAATGTGTGAAAGCAGCTAACTCCTGCAGCATTTGGAACCCAAACACCTGCGGAGTTTGCTGCAGAGAGACTGCAACAGAAAAAATCAAACAGGAAAACATAGCCAGTGGGGCGGTGACTCTGCGCGTGGAGCTCCGGCCTGTGCTGACGGCTGTAAAGCCACACAGGCAAGCATATTTTTTGTGAATTCATGACCTAATGTTGGACGCCAGATGTAGTGCGAGTTCTAATTGGTCTTAATAATAAAAACCCAGGGTCAGATTTGGGGTTAATGCTGAAAGATCAGAGAAGGAGAGCAACCAGCCATTAGAGTTCTTACCTCTATCAAATCTCCAGACTGAAAAGAGCCTGAGCTACTGTCTCCTCCGGCCTATTCCCCTCTCCCGTCCAGCCACATCACTTCCTGTCTGTCTGTATAGACCTCCGGACTTCTATGGTTAACTAATGGCTAGCTCCTTCCCCTGATCTTCAGGCAAGCTTTCTTTGTTAGAGTACAAACAAGATATCAGCACACACCACAGCATGATGAAAGGTGTTAAAGGGTCATGGTGTTGGGAAGGTTGAGAACCACCAGCCTGCGCTGTCAATCCTTGGGTGAACCCAAGGTGCCCTGCTTCTATTTACGTGGGATGCATTCTGACTGCAAGCCTCAGGTCTAAAGCTTTCACCTTAGTCCTTCCTGTCTTGGCGGTGTGACTGCCAGGGCCCACATGAGATGTCTGTAGCTTTAATATACAGCCGAGCTGCTTGGATATGAGCAGGCTTGCAGATAATCAAAGCGTGGCTCGAGGTAGGAATTGGATGTGAGAATCCCAGGCAGGGCTGGCAAGCCATCTGTGTGCTAATGTGGCAATTTCATCCTTGGACTTAAGGTCAAGATTGATTTAGTTAAAAATATTATTCTGCAATGTAATAGCTGCCTTCAGATTGGATTGTGGGGGATTCTGGAGGACGTGTGAGTGTGGGGTGTAGACGACCCAGATAGCTGAAGTAAGAACTGCTTCAAGGCAGGGTGTGATGGCTCACAATATTTTCCTCTCATACATAGGAAAATACTTTTGCTGGCCGGCTGCATATATTTTGGCAATTTTGAGATAGCACGGTTTTTAAAAACATTTTTTTTTATTATAGAAAATGTCAAATATTCCCTAACTTACCCGTAGCTCAACTTCTAACTTATTATTATATTTTTGACTTTATGATGTGAAAACAATCCATGCCAGCGGAAACTGTGCTTGGAAACTGAAACTTGGATCATTTCCCGGGTCATCCCTATGCTCTCTAACCCTCGCCAGCCGCGCCTGTGGGTCCCAGTTCACCCACCGACTACAAGGTTGTTCCACAGTGCGGACCTGGGCCGTGGGGTCTGGAAGATGAACTTGCCAATATGGCCATTTTAAAGGAGTTTTAGCAGGGCCATCCTGAGT